TCATTTCAGTACAGCGTTGCATGACGGAATAAATGTCAGTCAAAGTACCGCAGCGCTGAATACTGAAAAATGGCCTGGCCAGGAAGGGGGTCTAAACACCTGGTCTTGAAGTGGTTAAGGAAGTCGGGCGGCGTATAATGACTCACCACCTGGCTTCCTGATTAGCCGGGAAGCCGGCTTCATGCTGCCTTGTCAACAGGTGACAAAGAAGCATGGAGTCTGATTTCTGACCAATCAGGAAGCCGGGGGTTGAATTACATGCCCCCCAGCTTCATGATTGGCCGGGAAGCTGGCTCAATGCTACCCGACTAATTAGGAAGCCGGGCGGTGATTCATTACACGCCCACCGGCATCCTGATTGGCCAGGACCCTGGCTCAATGCTCCCTCGTCACCAAATGACGAGAGAGCATGGAGTCGGCTTCCCAGCCAATCAGGAAGCCAGCTCCATGCTCTCTTGTCACTTGGCGACGAGAGAGCATGGAGCCGGCTTTCTGGCCAATCAGGAAGCCAGGCGGTGTGTAATGACTCGCCGCCCAGCTTCCTGATACCGGAAGTTCCGGTATCGGGATAACTATTGGGAGCATTTGGGTAGGGCTGCAGCTAACGATTATTTTCATAATCGATTAGTTAGCCGATTATTGAGTTTGATTAATTTCTATAGCTACTAATGTTCTGCAGTGTGCCGTTTAAAAATAAAAAACAACACACAGGAAACATTTAAAAGCTCCCGGCGGATCTCGACTTACCTTGAATGACGGTGTTGTCGGCGGGCAGCGGCGTTGTTCGATCGCGGCGGGCAGCGGCGAGTTGGGAAGCTCACCGGGAGGAGAGGGCCAGACGCAATGTCCTCAGCGTGGGCGCGGCGTCGCGTGACAACAGCGTAGGTGCAAGCGGCTTAACTGACGTAGGCGTGGCGTAAACGGCGGGCGTAAGCAGCGTGCGTGAGCGGCGAGCGGGAAATTTGAATTTTAGCCGATGAATCGACGATGGAAAACGTTGGCAACGTTTTCCATCGTCGATTTTAATCGACTTAATCGAATAATTGTTGCAGCTCTACATTTGGGCAAGTACCAGTACTCGCCCAAATATTTGGTATTGTCACCGATACTAGTATCAGTATTGGTGCATCCCTGGTGTGAACCCAACCTCCTGATTTTTAGCATAAGTTGCTTATTTACCTGCAATTTTTGCCGTTTCTAACAAAGGCACAATTTTAAATGTACAAATATTTGTTATTTGGCAAATTGATACAGTTTTGTATGTTAGATTCAGGGCCGATTCACGCCAGCATCTGCACTACAACGCACGGCCGCTGCAGTGTGCGTTGCCAGAAACGTGTTGACGTGGCAGTCTTGGCGCATTGCACTATTTACTTTTTTTTGTTGTTAAAACTTTATTGAAATGTCACCAGTGGTATTTCATTTAGTTCTATGGGCACAGCGTGGTGCGATACGGTTGTACCGCGTCGCATTCCTGTTGCGCTAAAAAAAGTAGTGCACGTGAGCAAGACAAATTGCCTTGTCTAGCGTTGGGGCTACGCTGGAATAATCGACCAGCACAGCCCAAACGCGCAATCGCTGTGTGAATCCAGGAATTTTGGAAGTTATATTGCATTTGTGTACAAATATTGATTTTAGTGTATTTTTATTTAAAAATATTGTTTTTACAAACATTTGTGCAACTATCACAGGATCTAAATAATTAGTAGTACCGTCTTTTTAATTTATTTATTTTTTATTTTAGTGGCAACGTGCTTTCTAAAAATATGTGGTTTGTGGGTATTTTACAATGTCTAAAAAAATAGAAGTGAAAATTGCACAAATAACCTGCGGCTGCTGTACAGGGCCTGGCAGCAAAAAGATTAAAGTGACTCTGTTGCTAAAATGAAAAAAGAAAGAGGTGTTATACTTTCCCGTCCTGCCTCAGATATTTGCTTTCTTCAAGAGCCACATTGACTGAAGAATTTTCAGCATCTGACACACTTTTTGGTTTATCGGATGCTGGGTCCTTCGCTGCACACTGTGGTTTGATCTGCCGGCTGCTACATCAAAACCAGACAAAGAAGAGACATAGCAGCCAGCAGAGAAGCAGTGGTGCAGGTCAAACCTCTCTTACAGCTTTTTTATACTTACTTTGACCTTTACATGTCTAGTCTAAAGAGCAAGCATTTGCAAACATTTAGCTAGCTTCATGCAGCTAATCATGCAGATTTTTATTTTTTTTCATGTCATTTTTCGCTCTATTTTTTTTTCGTCCCCCCTGCGACGCGTATGCTCGCAAGCGACGGAACCCGGAAGATGGAAGCCGGCATCGGCTGCAGAACACAGTGCGGCTCGAGAGACAAGGTAAGTAAATACTATGCGGCTTTCCCGAGTGTATCTCGGGGTTACCGCTTATGGCAGGACTCAAAATTTCAAGTCCTGAGCTACTAGCCAGGCCTTAAGAGTTCCGCAGCCTCCGACGGCCGGGCCGCTTCTCCCTCGGCCCTGGCCACGTCTCCTCGCACACCCGGCAGCGCGCCGCTAATGGGGCCTGAAAGCGAACTGCCGGGTGTACGAGGAGGCGTGGCCAGGGCCGAGGGAGAAGCGGCCCGGCCGTCGGAGGCTGCGGTGCCACTCCAAGAAGCGGGTGGAGGAAATAGACAGCGATCGGCGCTGCCGAATCGGCGGAAGTCCCCCCCCTGGATTTCCACTCGCCCCCACGCAATTTTCACTCGCCAATTGCGAGGGGGCGCGTGGAAATTTTGAGCCCTGGTTTATGGTATGGAAAAGTAACCACGAGCTACACTCGGGAATACCGCCAGGGAGGTTAAAGCTGAACTCCAGGCAAACATAAATATATCGATAAAATACATATAATAATGTTGTTTTACCTGCTAAATGCTTTGTATGTGTCTCAGCTTTGAGTTTTACACAGCTTTGCCGCACCGCCTAGTCTGTCAAGGCAGGAGACCAGATTTTTCTCTGCTGCAGTTAAGGAACAATTACAGGTCTTGTCCCTCCCCCAGCCTGTGACTAATGAGTGAAAGGAGAAGCAGGAGACTGACAAGTTCATCTCTCTGTCACTCTGCCTTCTTCCCTTTTCAGCATGTTTCTTGGTAGCAAATGAGCACTGCAGCACGACTGATTGGTTCCTTGTGCTGCTTCTTCTTCTCCCAGGCTGTGGTCTGCCATACAGTGGACTGCAGGAGCCTTATATCAGGTCAAATTCAGGCACTAAAAAAACCAAAAGAAATTTAATGGTGTTTTAATAGCTACAGAGTTGCAATAATTTGTATATTTTACACCTGCCTGGGGTTCAGCTTTAACGCATACAGGTAACGCTAAAATATATCGCTATCAAAAAACCAGCAGGTCACTAAGCACAGCTGCTTACAGCTAAAATATCCCTTAGGACCAAGTCACATGAGCGCATTTGTTATTCGAGACAACACACCAGTGACAATTGTGTCACACAAGCTAGAAATTGCCGTCTGTTCGATGATCGCCTCCCCGCTGAATGGGACCAGAAGCAACGCTAATTGCATCACTTCCGCTCCTGCTCGGCTGCAGAAACCAACAATAAGCTATTGGAGCACATTCTTATACTTACCTAATCTCCGCTGCCCCAGTGCTTACCTCTCTCCCCTCTGACTCATGGACTCTCCCTCAGGTTTTATCATATAATGAAGGGCTACGGGCCCTGCATTATACATGCCCATGTCAATAAGGGCTATGGACCCTTCATTAGGTGTGATGACATCAGTGGGCATCTGACCACTATAAAGAAGCCGAGGGCGCCGGTCTTGTAGGCAGCAGAATCGGGGATCAGGTAAGTAAATGGTGGCCGTCCTAGACATTACCAAGATTTTAATCCTTGCAGGGTGTAAGGCTGGGCACAAGACTTTTGTCTTGCGATGGTTGTAAGGTACTTAAAAAAATGTACGATCTGCCTATCTTGGACAGGCAGATCGTACTTGCGATGATCACAAGCCGCGCCCCCCTGAGGGGCGGGCTTCCGATGACCGCAATGCCGAACGGGCAGTGTGCGCTTGCGCACACCGGCCCGTCCGGCTTTTATCTTACGAACATACTACACACCCGCCGAACATCGTACGATGCTCGGCGGGTTTTCAAACATGTTTGTAAGTTTAAAGTTGTGCAACCTTATAGTAGTAGAGGTCGCATGGCTTCCACACACCTTACGATAATCGTACGATCGCGGGATTTCCCGCGATTATCGCAAGGTGTATGGGGACCTTAAGGGGAACTTTTAACCATTTAACCGTCAGGTGTAAGGGGAACTTTTTTTTAACATAACATTGGCTTTAAACGTCCCCTTTATGAGTAGCAGCACTTCATGTGCAAACTCCCCACTTCTTCTATGTAATTCATGTCACTGAGCAGAAATTACACAAACAATGCTCTGACTGAGAACTTCACACGTATTTGCATCAGTCTTAACTTGCTGACACACACATGTAAACATATCACGCCGCACACTCCATGCTCTGTACACCGCTCCTTCGCCTATTTCCTCTGCCACCCAGCACTCACACGGCCACGTGACCATTGACCATAAACAGTGCCAGGGCGCTGTGCACCCTAGGACTCGTAGTCCGGCCGTTCATCACCCTCTGGCATTTCTCCGCATGGAGAAACTACAACTCCTCCCAGCATGCCCCGCGAGGTACATGGTGTCACATGGTGAAAGAGGGCAGCTGATTGAAATGATGACACTGTAGTGAGGTGTAGAGGAGGGGCCTCGGGCAGCACTCTTCCTCCCTTTCTGAATTAGATGTCAATAAGGGAGATCATTAGGCAGCAAGCCCCATCTGACAGCTGGCCAGCCCAAATTAGCCTGTGACTCTACAAATCTCCACCTGTCCCCTTGTTATTGCCTGTGTCTGCAATAACACCAGGAGAGCCTGTTACAGTGAAACATGCTGAACTTGTGACAGTGGTTCCCCTGGCACTCACTCTGCTGGCTGGAGGCATTTAGTATAGAACTCGGTCACTGGACTGGGGGACTTGAGGATTATTAGGGGTGTACCCAGGAGATCTCTTCCCATTAGATGCCCAGGTAACAGATCCAAGTGGGTTCTCCTTCCGGGAGTTCTTTCACTTTCGGAAGATTTCGGTGCTTGTGAGTGCCATCCCCATTACAGGCATGAGACATGGCGTCTGTCAAGGTGGCAGTGCGAGTCCGGCCGATGAACCGCAGGTAAGAAGTCCACTGGTGTGCTGGAGGTAAAAAGTAATTGTGGTTTGTGTGTGATTTCTATATAATGATGGTTTGCTGTAAGTATCAGATATGTAATTATTAGGGGTGTGCCCACTTATAATGTATTTTTTAATTATGGGTGAAACACAGAGGATGGCACCTTACCCGCTAGTAGCTTATTGAGGTCTATATGCCCAATGGGCCAACTCTGCGTCACCGGCCATGGCATTGCCTGTTCCCTGCATCCAGCAGTGCATGTAGGACCAAGGAAGTTGGGGCACCTTGGAACCCGGGTTCAGGGATCTCACTGCTGGAGAATCCTTCAGGGCATTCAGCTCTTCAATATCTACCCAGTACTGAAATGTCTGTTTATTTGCTGTCTATACATGTAATGATATAGAACGGGGCAACAGGTCTTTTCAACGTCGTCTTCTTCTTCTTTTTTTTTTTTATTCTTTTAAATCATTATTTAGATCTGTTAGATTGTAAGCCCTCAGGGGCAAGGCCCTCCTTACCATCTTCTCTTGAATTGTGTTGTGATTGTAATGTCTTCCGTATTATAGTAGTAGTAATAATTGAATGGTAATGCAGGCAGCTCAAGGCTGGTGGGAGGGGTCAGCAGGGTGGTTTACATGAAACATCCTGAAAACATCACAGGACCCTGCCTCTGTGCTTCTTTCAAAAGCTCTCAGCCTTGATACAAGCAGTGGAGGAGTTAAGCAAATCAAAATCCCTTGATGGGGGATGTTCATCTGGAGGAGTGTGTGTTCCAAGGTTGGATGCATTTGCATGCAGACAGTCTAAAGCTGGCCATACACCTATAACTTATCTGCAGATTTTCTATGGTCACATGGAAAAAGTGCAACAGATTCCTCCATCTGAGCTAAACTGTGTGGATGGAGGAATCTCCCACTGGGCCAAGCCTCAGTATCTTGCTAGTCGGCCCCGCTGGCTCTCAAAATACCTGAACAGTCTGATTGGATGCAGGCATTGTTCAGGTACTTTGAGAGTCATTCGGGACGACTAGCAAGATACTGAAGCTTGGCCCAGTGGGAGATTCCTCCATCCACACAGTTTAGCGTAGATGGAGGAATCTGTTGCACTTTTTCCATCTGACCGTAGAAAATCTGCAGATAATCTATAGATGTATGACCAGCTTTAAGTAACGTCCACATGTGATGCTGAGCTTCCATAATTGGTAAAACTGAAATCAAATGACTGAACGAGGCAGGCAAGAGACAGTCATGTTGGGGAGTAAAGAGCTATATGTTGCTGGACGTCTTCCAGCCAGGAAATGAGGCGGGCTCTATCTTATTGCTGCAGCTTCCAATGCACATTGTGAGAGGATCGCAGTGTACAGTGAAATCAGAGCAAGTAATTTCAGTCCAGGAGAGGAGCCGGTACAACTGTGCAAGAGGGAAGGTGAGGGTGAAGTCATCAAATCGGCCATTTACTGTTCTTTTATTGAGTGTATTGTTCCATGTATGGGTAGATTCAGATGGATTTGCCCCTTAAAGCTGGACTCTGGGGTAAAACCCCTTCCTCTTGCGGCAGGTCCCCCTCCACACTGCTTGTTTCCCCCGGAGGATGATGTATGAGATTATATACTGACATTATTCCTCACTCCTCCAGGCTTCCTGCGTGCTGTAAGACCGGTCCCCCCAAAGCGCTCCTCTTCACTGCCTGACTGGTCTCAGCTCTCTATTGGTCATCCCGTACAATGCGGAACTACGTTCCTGTATTGTACTTGCGGTCGCCGAGGGCTCACCTACAATCCAGGACGTCGGAGAGCGCCAGCTGCCACAGAACGAGGAATAATGTAAGGACATTAATTATTCATCATCCTTTAGGCCAGAGGTTGGCAGACTCTGGCCCTCCAGCTGCGTTCAAAACTACAAAACCCATCATGCAGCTGTCTCTGGAAGTCATGCCCGTGGTCAGAGTTTGGCAATGCCTCAATGGATTTGTAGTTGCACCACAGCTGGAGGGCCTCTGCTACCTCTGCTCTAGGCAAAAACAGCCACATGTGACTATGCTGATTGGCCCAGCACTGTCCTATAGAGTGAGTCACATGTTCCCCCGTACCAGGCCTTCAGCTCCCATACCTCTCAGCTTCATTCTTAAGATCCCGGGACTGAACGGAGGGAAGTAGAGGTAGGTATATGTTAGGGGTATATAGGGGATAAATATGGATCAGTTAGTCTCTTCCCATAGCAACCAGTAACAGTTTTAGTTTCATTTTCCCAGCGAAGAACAGACATTATGACACAAAGATGGTTGCTATTGGAAACAGCCCTGTTTTTTCTTTGGCCCAGTTTGTAGAAACGGACCACACTGTCATTTGACAATCAGACTCTGTATGGTATACAAGTGATCACAGCACAAAAATCTCAGGGTCAATCTCAATCTTGTGTTTTGGTGGTAAAATTAGTTATTTAGAAAATATATGGGGAGTTCCCTCTTGTTTTCTGTCCATTGTCCATGCAGAACCCGGTTCATTAGTGATGTGCGTGGGTTTGGTGGGAGCACTAGTGTGTGCAAAACTGTCAGCGACACATTCCTCCCCCAGCCAAATCAATTGGTGCCAGGGCATTTCCCACTCCACAGCTACACGTAACAAAGGAGCGGAGAATGCCCTGACCACTACTGATTGGGCTGAGAGGGGGGGGTGTCGCTGACCGTTTTGCGAGGCGAACTCTAGCAAACTGGATTCTCGCCTAGCTCACGCACATCACTATTCACTACCTGTATAGTGCTTGTGCCTAATGGAACGGAGCGCTGATCATAAACCCGTGTATATTGGTGGGAGGTATTGGGATAACTGAAGTTCCATTCTGCGGTCTGTGTCTATTGAGGAATGTCCCCAGGATAATGTGTACACAAAAGGGAAAACAAATAACAGCTGAGAGTTGTAAACTGGTTTAACAGACACTGGAGCCAACATGTAACACTAGTTTGAAGAGCAATGTGTACAGCAAGCTTTTAGGGCCCATTCACACTTGGGCATTCCATGTGTTACAGCAGATTATGAATAGGCTGGCAATACATTCCAACATATGAAAAAGGGACATGACCCCTTGTAAGCAATGCATTACACCACAATGCACAATATGTGCGTTATGTTCTGCCGTGCATCGAACATTGCACTATACAGAATGGGCTTTGATGGGACAGAGTGGCTTCCGCGTCTTGCTGCAATATATGCTACTAACACATCTGCTTTTACTACATAGTGTTTAAGGAGTGCTGGCTTCACATTTATAGGGTGCCACTGTTGACCATACACCAACTACACATCAGCTAACTGTGTAGTTGGTGCATGGCATATTGACATATGACATATTCACATCACTTAACATGCCCAGCGCTCTCTTTCCACTACTAAATATTTGCCCCAGACTACATGGAGCCAAGGCGCATTGGAATTTGATTTAATTTTGGATAGAGTGGGAAAGGATTAGGAATCTTGTTAGGGTTTACTAGGGTCAGAGGCGCCTCTGGAGAAATTTCCATAGTCATAGTTCCTGTCTAGTAAAAAGGTTGTCCCCATAGACAGGAAGTGAGAGGAAATCTCTAACCGCAACACAGACAGAAGAAAATACTTTATATAAGTAAGGGAATGCTAGAACCCCATTCAGCTTTTTGTGTGTTTCCCTTTTGCAGATTTCCCCTCTCTTCCTGTTTGATAAAAGGTTGTTCCCAAAACAGAAAGTGAGGGGAAATCTCTCTAATGTATCTCTGGATAGCAGTAAGACTGACAGGGGGCATAACCTTCTTCCACATGTAGAGCTGCAGCTAACGATTATTTTCAAAATCGATTAGTTAGCCGATTTATTAAGTTCGATTAATCGGATAAAAAATAAAATACATTTTAAAAAATGGCTCCAGTGATGGGACTACTAGTTTGTATTGAGATTGCAGTCCATCACAGGAGCAAGCTTGGAGCGGGGAAGTAAAAAAGGAAATAAAGTGTGGCGTGCAATATACAGTGTATAATGTATTGCTGGGATATGTATTCCTCTATAGCTGATGGTACATTGCTCTGTATAATATACAGCACAATGTACCATCAGCTATAGAGAAATACAAATCCCAGCAATACATTATAGAGCACCATGTGTGGGAAAGTGCAGACTTACCTGATCAGTCTTCCAGCAACTTGTTTCTGAGATCGGGCCTGTCTATTGTCAGGTGTCATCCCCCCCACACCTGCTCCTCCTTACTTCTTCTTCCCGCGTCCCTGTGCCGATCGTGGATTTCGGCGCGCGGTGAGCGTGAGGCAGGGAGGGGGTGCGGTGTGTGGAGCGTGGATGCGGGCAGGTCTGGCAGCGGCGAGCGTGAGGCAGGGAGGGGGTGCGGTGTGTGGAGCATGGATGCGGGCAGGTCTGGCAGCGGCGAGCGTGAGGTGGGGAGGAGGTGTGGCATGCAGCGTGTGTGGAGCCGTGAACAGGGCCAGCCAATCAAAAGCCGATTAATCGATGATTGAAAAAGTTGACAACTTTTTCAATCATCGATTATGTCGATTAGTTGTTGCAGCCCTATCCACATGTAAAGAAAAAACAACAACACACATTTAGGAATGCACCGATACTACTATCTGTGCTGATACTGAGTATTACGAGTACTCGCTCAAATATTCCGATACTGGAACTTCTGGTCAGAGGAAAATTTCCCCTTCACGGCAGTGCCATAGGGGAACATGGAGCCGGCTTCCTGGGCACTCAGGAAGCCGGGTGGCGAGTAATTACCTGCCTCCCAGCTTCCTGATTGGCCAGGAAGCCGGCTCCTTGCTGATAGGCTGGGAAGCCGTCTTCCCGGCCAATCGGCATCGAGCGGGCCGAACAGCATGGATATCAGTGCTTCTGTACCTGATGCCGGGTCATTACTCGCCGCTTGGCTTCCTGATTGGCCGGGAAGCCGGTTTCCCGGCCAATCATAATCAAGCCGGCCAAACAATGCCGACCGGCTTCCTGATTGCTTGGGAAGCCTGCTCCATGCCA